AGCGATAACTAGGCGATATAGGTCCGTTAACTAAGCGCGTAGTTAGGAAGATCCGGAGTATAGCCGGATCCCTTATATCGGGGTTAATATAGAATACTATCCCCTCCCTCTCCCTCCGGGGGTTATATAACCGCCCGTCCCCATTATAGATTAGCTCCCCTTTACATCACGGTAATAAAGGAATAATCGTATCCCTTTATCTTACCTCGCCCTTACCTCGATATTAAAGAAACCTTAAGTCGCCTACTAACCTTTATTTACGTGCCCGAAACAGTAATATAGGCCTCCCTTATATAGATCCTGTCCGTAGATATATAGGCCCCGTTTTCCTTATAGGCTTCCTTTTCCTTTATTCTTCTCCCAAACTTTAATAATAATAATAAGAAGAATAACGGTTTCGTATATACTCGCTTTCCTTATAGCGATAATTCTTCTAACTCTCCTATTCCTAGATAATATCTATTAATACTTAGCTAGTTTAAAAGCTCCTTATCTAAGGTAAGCCGTCTCTCTCCCGCGATCTTCTTATAAAGTACCCTCCGCTAACTTATATCGTTTCGTAAATAGCGTTAGCCCCCGGCGATAATAAAAGTAATAATAGTAGTAAGCGTACCGCCGATAATAATATAGGTATAGTACCCGTATACCTTAAGGCGATACTAACCGTATAATAATTTAGGTTATCGTTGTCGCCTCCGCCTAAAAGAAGAAATCGGCGGGTAATTAGCCTCCTAAGCACCCTCTTAGTAATATTCGTGCTAAGCTATACCTCCTTTATATGCGCGATATCACTAGTAGGAAGTATAAACGCCTTTGTCGTAGCTAGACTAATTAGGGAAAGAAATACTATATATACTCTACGAAGATATACCGGTATACTCCTCTCCTAGTATACCTTAAAGGCCACGCGCGGAGGCTATTTAAGATGGTTACCCTTATTAGCGATAATAACGAGAACGCCCTTATAAGACCTCCTCCCCCTTTAAGGTTAAGACCGTATTACTAACCCTCCTTCTAAGAGTACGAACCGTATCTTAACACTTACACGGCGTTCTAGGATACCCTTATAGCTAAGGAAACGATAATAATAATATTACTTATAGCTATATATCCCGTGGAGGCTCCTAACACGGTAATCGCGCTAGCCCCTTCTCCTCCTTAGGAGGTCTAAGAAAAGGTAATACTATAATTAGCCTTATTACCTTTTTTTAAGGTTATTAATAAGATAACTTAACTAGTCTTACTTTCTTTAATAACGAAAATCGCTAATAAAGTGGTTATACTAGTCTTTTCTCCTCTCTTAAAAGTCTTAGAAAAGATAGTATCAGGACTAGACTTATTATCTCCGGAGGAGGTTAATACTACGGCGGAATACCTAGCCTTATCTCCTCCTTATAAGGGTATAGGTAAGGTAATAGTTTTAGGCCTAACCCCTCCTAATATTGTAACGGAAAAAATACCTATCTTATTACTCCTACTCTCTTATCGGGGTTAACGTTATCGGATAAAGACTTTAGACGCCTTAGTCTTATAAAGCTAAGGGAGTATACTCGGCTATTTAAGGAGATACTTATACTTAGTCGCGCCAATATTATAATCTCCGAACTCTAATAATTCACGGAGCGTAGGCGAGCTTTTACGTTTACGGGTATACTTATCGCTAGCGCCGTTATAATCCCTAATAACGGCGACGATAAAGATAATAATAAGGTTAAGGAGATAGACTCTAATTTATAATGGGGCGATAAAGGTAAGACTTTTACGGAAATCAATAATCCCGAGGATAGTGATTTGAAGGCTAACGATGTCGATTTAGGCTTATATTATACGTAGCTAGGGCGCGGGGCCTATCTAACCTAAACTAAATCCGACTTTTACTCCTTTTTAATTATTATAATACGGTCGCTTATATATCGGCTCCTATATCGTAATAGTAGAAAGGTATTTAATAGGCTATTATTCGTTATTACTAAGCCGAATTTCCTTTTAAATTTATTAAATACCCGTGTTTACGCTAATAGTTCTAGCGGTTCCTAAATAGGCTTATAGTATCCTACCTATTATACTAGTACCTTACGTCTTAATCCCCTACCTCGCCTTTTTATCCTTATATAGAGGATTTCCTAAACTTCCTATTTTTCGTTATCGGTCGCCTCTTAAATAGGCGGTAGTTAAGGGTTATCTACTACCTATTCCGGGAGGGGGTTATCGCCTATATAATATAATAAGTCTGCGTAGAATCGAGGGTAGATCTATAATAGCACGGCGAGCTTAACTATATATAGGCTAATTACCTTTATAACTCGGTATTTACAATAAAGCTAGTTAAGCTTATAGGATAATAGCGGAGTCGAGTAGTTAGCTAATAATAGCTAGACTAAATTATTAACCTTAAAACGCTTAGCCGGTATATAATATTAGTTAGTAGACTCCTTATTTCTAAGCTATATCGATATAATCACGGCCTAAGCGAACTCGGTCGCTTCCTATAAATAGCGTAGTAGGTTATAGGCCGCGAATACTCTAGGTTCTATAAAAGGCTCCTCGGTTATTTAGATTAAGTTAATATAGTAGCTATATTCTAAGAAATAAAGACTAAACCCTATTATAAAGCTCTCGCTATTATTTAGGGCTAGTTATACTATAGGTAGTAGGTAAGCCTAGTTATCGTAAGCGTAATAGATAAAAGCTCGTAAATAGGCTTATACTTCTGAGCTTATACGCTTTATTACTTTATCAGTCTAGGGGTAGTATACTATACTAAGCTTACGCGATATCCGTGTAAGCTTATAAAAGTGTTTCTAGAACCTACTTATCTAGTTTAAACCTCGGTTACTAATAATCGACTTAGGTATTCCGTAAAATCGGAAATAAAGGAAAGGGAAATATTCCGTGTATGCTTTAGCTTCTATTATCTTTATTACTTCTAATATTATAGCCTTAGTTAGGCGGTCTATAATAACCTAGAAGTAGCGCACCTTTTTCTCGCCGGCTAGTAGTAGGTCCGTTATAGAGTCTATTAATAGGTTGCTCCGTATTTATTCTAGTACCGGGAGGGGGAATAAAAGGCCTTACTTCGCGTTCCTTTATATATACCCCTGTTTATAGATCTTATAATTTCAGATAAATCGTCGGATATCTTTATTTATTCTTAGCTAGAAGAAATAACACGTTATTAAGACGATAGTATTTTTATATCCGGGGTATTCTCCGATTACTTAATCGTGAATTAACTAGACGATCCTGCTTTATAACGTTAACCCCTTAGTAGACCCGGGTACCTAAATTCGGTCGCGGAATAGTAATAACCCGGTTATAGAGACTAAATACTTAGCTATTTATAGCTTTAATTCTAATAATAGTAAGAACTACTATTTTTCTTTACTAACCGTGGATAAGGCTCCTTAATACTATTTATCGGTTATAAGCATTTTATCCTATTATTATTATAGCTTTTAGTCCGCCTTAAAGATTATTTAGCCGTTATTAATATTACGAATACTAGGTAGAATCACGGTATCGGGAATTAATTAGATATAATAAGATTACTTATATTTATCCGTTATATCTTAGGGCTTATCTTACTATTCACGCGAGAGGGCGCTTACTATTATATTATCCTTTCCTTTCTAATACTTAAGTATAAAGTTAAACTATATAAGCTTACCGGCCTATTAGCTTTATCGCTTAGTAAGTAGTTACTTTATTATAAAGTATTTAAGGGCTTTATAGGCGGAGAGGACTATAAACTACTTATAAGTAATAGTCTTAGCCCGTTATATTATTAAATAATTTATAATCGCTAGTATTTCCTTATTATAGATTAGGTAATTATATTCCGTTTTAGGGCGTACTATAGGGTACTCTAAGGGTACTATAGTATAGGTTATAGTACCTATAGGGTATACTATAGGTACTTTTAGGATATACTATAGCTTCCCTGGGTTATAATTAGTGAATACCAGGGAATCCCCCGGGTTCCTATATATACGAGCCGAGGATTCTACGGGGTTTACCCGTGGAATACTTAAGTCCCGGGGGCGCGCCCCCTTAGCTTAGATAAGATACCTTTAGTATACCTTATTTACTATAGTAAAGGTCGCCCCTTAAATCCTAGGATCCCTAGGTCCGATAGTGCTCGCTATCTAGAGATATACCTGGATAGGGTATATTATCGTGTATATCTACTATATTAAGTTATATCTAGGTAAGTCTCTTATACCCTTAATTTAGGTACTATAGACTGTATCTATAAGTACTATATTATTTAGAGCCTATCCGATCTTTTCCGGTATCCACCCTTATAATATCCTAATACCCGAGGTCCGAAGCGCTTAGTTAGGTATAGTCTACCAGGTATAGTCTATGCCTATACGATAATACGGCGCGTAGGCCGTTTAGCTTTATTAAGATTAGGATTAATAAGGTTAGCGATATGTTAGAAGTCTACGATAATTATCACGGCTTTAATCTAAGGGCGCTAGTCTTTTAGCGAGGTAAGCGTTACGAAGCCTATAATAGGCATTACTACTATAGAAGCTATTGTTATACTAGTAAAAAGTAGTAGACTATATATACGAGTAGGTTAAATAACTATACTAAACGCTTTAAATAATAGTATAATAGAAACGATAAAACGATTAAATAAAATAAAAGTAGGCGGATATAGCTAATAATACTAAACTACCTATTATAGACTCAAGGCTATTAACTGCCTAGAAGCTATAGGATTAATCGGAATAGCTTTATTTATTAGAACCCCGGGCTTATACCTATTAGAATATAAATAAAGGTACGGGATTATATATATATATATATATACTTATCTAAGTACAGTTTATAATATCTTATAGGGATATCTAACTATAGAGCAAAAGCAGGGGAAATAACTATAGATATATAGGATCGAGGTACTCCACACGTCTAATATAATATAGTTTATCATACCCCGATAAGGTAGCTATAGTATCTAATAATAATAATAATGATAGATACTATTTATATAAATAATATGTATATTTTTATAAGAAAGCTCACTACAGACATAGAATCTTATTTACTATATATATACCCTAGGATAAGTCCATTTTATAATTTACCTGCTGCCCTTGCCTCTATTATAAATTAATGTTAGCACGACCCGACTAAGTATTATACAGTATTCTAAATATTCAAGCACTTACCTTTGACCTGCTCGAAGACCTTGAGCATTTTCCGACGTGCCCCAAGTGCATTCACACCGCGTTCTTCGAGAGCCTTATCATCTAACTCGATCAGGTCTGTCCACTTCGTATCTTTTAGATTATCGGTGTACTTATGCAACCGCAGACTTCGGAGCCAGCTGGGAATGTCCTGCAGCAAAGTGGGGTCGGTCGGATCTTCAGGTGGTTTCGAACTGCCTCGGCGACCCCGCGACCGGCCGCGTACCATATCAGAGTGGTCGGAAAGATAGCCCTCGTGACTGCCAGCCCCCAGTTGTGCAACGGCCAGAGACTGTATCCCGCTATTCAACAGCGAACCTTGCGCATCATATGCGCTCAGGAATCCATTATTCTGAGGAGACGCAAAGGGAACGTGGGTGAACCCATGATTGATAGGTACCGTTGGCGAGGTAGGGCGAGATCGGTTACCGGAGAATGACACGGTCTGCTGCTGGGCTTGTAAACTCAGCATCTGTTCTTGACTAAGAACCTGACCATGCTCGTTGATCATGACCACATTCGTGCCCGGTATCCTGACAGTCGGGGTATTACCAAGGACAGCAGGCTGGCCTGGGGCGCCCGGCGCTTCGTTGGACCGTGCCCGTCGGTATTTTCGTACGTCATCCAAGGCAAAACGGTTGTTAACCGTGGAGAGTGCGGCTAGTTTCATCGCCGTCGCATTCGCAAGCATGTCAGCTTGGCTGCCGGCAGATTTTCCACCATTTCCCGAACTCGCACTGGCATTCGCAGCCGTCGTATTGAAAGAGGCTACTAGCGGAGTGTTCACCATCGACGCCCAGTTTCCTCCACTTGGATTGTAAGGCGACAGAAGTGGTAAGTCTGATGGTTTATCGCCAGCTGTCAAGATGTTACTTTTGGTGTTCGAGTTGCTGGAGATTTGGGCCTGGGGAGATCTCAAGCCACTGGAGGCGGGCGGCTGAACGAAGTGACCCATTGGAGCCTGTCCTTGCCCGGTACCCGACTTGGGCCGCGACCTGGCATTGTCGCCAGTATTCCAGGCCGATGCCTGGGACTGACTTCCTGAATCGTGAGAGTTTGTTGGTGCTGCAATGGTTGGTGTCGCCATCGCCGGTCGGGCTTCGCAGGCGACACTGTTTCGATTCGACGCGGGCGGATTCCCAGTCTGTTGTGTGAACTTCGCCTTTTCAGAAGCAATAGCTGCCGCGGCATCGGGAAACATGGCATTGATTGTCGACGCGTCGAGTCCTGAGTAGCGCTTGGTGGTTACTGTGCCTGGCGGACGGGCCATTGAATTTCTTGCAGAGTCCACATTGAGCTTGCTCATGGCATCGCTTAGGCGGTTTGACATGGGGTCTTACGACCGTCAGCTGAAACTTCATTTTATGTTGGTGTTCTCCTGGCATCGGTAATTGAGGATGAAGAAAATTTTGAAACACTAACCTTTGTCGAAGTTCGCGGGAGAGAGAACTCCAGACATGGGGTGGCTTTTTCCCATTTGCTGGAGGACCTGTATAAAGAACCGAACCTGGACCTGGGTGGTTTGCTGAAGCAAAGCATAGAGGGCTGCTGTCCGTTCGGCCTCGCTGAGGACTCTGAACCACTGCTCGATCGCACTCAACTCGTCCTTGAAATCTTGGTCAAGGGTGGCGGCAGCCATCTCCTCAAGCGTGGTTTCGTATTGATCGATATCGGCAATCCATTGCTGTGCAAGTTTGTCCTGGGCATCTCCCTCGTTGTTACCCGAGTCCTGGCTCTGCTGGCCGTAGAAGTCTGACGAGGGTCGGATCCGGCTAGAAGGAGAGGATGCAGAAAGAGCCGCCATGTCGGCTGAGGATCGAAGATGGTGTCCGGCACCAACGGTCCTCGTCGAAGGTGGGCGGAGAGAGGAGGCAGTATTGACCTCTGGAGTGCTATTTCGATTTCCGGCTACCTGGTTTCCAGACATTGTAGACAGACCGCTGGTGTGAGAAACGATGGTGAAGGCTGACTGACGGGGTGACTGGAGGGAACCTGAAATATGGACGTATCACATTGCTGTGGTGAATATATTGGAAGCACATACTGTCTCAGTCTCATTTGGGTAAGATACTAATTAATTTAAGCAAAACAAAGATTATAATTAATTAATCTACTAATAAAACCCTATAGCTAAATTAGAAGTTAAAATTGGTTATAACTCGCTATAATATACTAAAGAGCAGTTACTTATAATAAATTATTTCTAAAAATTACTAATATCTTTATTATATATATTAATTTACTTTTTATTATTATTATTATTAATCTTACTCTGCGATCCTATCTTAATCTATAAAGAGCCTAATTTAGACTATACGGTCCTTTATAGTTGGCTATAGAGGGGAAAACCCGGGGTTCCGGGGAAAACCTCTATACTTCTCCTTAGTTAGATTAGTGCTATTATAGGGCTAATATAGCCCTGGTTTACTTTTTCTCTATATCTGCATTATACCTCTAGGCTAGTGGCTAACAGGAAGGGTAATAGGCTATAGTTCGGGTTAGCCTAAGCCGGTTATTAGCGAGAGAGCGGGGGGCCGTATAGGTACCACGGCGTCTCCGTTATACGGTAGCCGCGGCACGCTATATCCGGTCTCCTTATATCCCTGGCGATTATTCCTATTTTCTATATAATTCTAGTATATAGTTTATAGGTAGCGTTATAGTAGGGCGGGGTTAACCAGGTAGTATAGTAGTATTAAGTAATATTAATAATAGTAATAACTATAATAACTCCACGATATAAATATCTTTATAACGTGGTAATACCTTAGTAATAGTACACTAATAGCCATAGATACCTTCTCCAAATAATAATAACCGTTATTACGAACGCGGTATAATCCGCGTAATACTATATATATACCCTAGTAGTATAGAGGTAATATTATAGCGGCTAATATATAGTAGTTATTTACGTTATAGTAAGCGCCTAGGGTCGTACCTAGATAATTTTAAAGCCTATTCTAATACTATAGGTGCTAGTGCTATATGCTTTTAGTATACTAATAGCCGGTATTTATATAAAGATACAAGTTATTCTTAGAGTATAGAGGTGCTGCTAGGGTGCCGGGGTGGTTAGCTCTAATAGGTTAATAGGTCCCTCCCGCTACTAAAAAGCAGTAATAGCGTCTAATAGAAATCTATTAGGTATATATAATAGCTAAGAAGTGTCTGAAAATAGTGTTTTTATCCTTTAGACGGGCCGTCTCTTAGGCGTTACCTTCCGGTCGCGGCCGCGGCCGCACTATATCGGCGGAGGTATAGGAATTATCGCGCCGATTTCGGCGCGTTAAGGGTATAAAGGGTGTTTAGCTAGATTATTTTATAAGTAGCCTCGCTAAGGTCCCCTTATAGCCCTTTTACGGTATAAAGCCGGCTAATTATCCTAGGGTCTTAAGTATACTAATAGTGGAGTTAGTGCCTTTAAGGGAGGAGAAAAGAATAACGATAAGGAGTAGTATAGTATCGGTATTATAACCAGATAAAGACGTTGTAACACCAGATCGTTAATGCAAAGACCAGACAAAGAGGTCAGTCCAGCAAAACCACGATATATAACCAAAATATAACTAACAGCACTATGACCTTTAGCGAAGAAGTAGATCGGTAGTCAGTGTTCTGATCAGGGTAACGTAAGTTAAACTAAAAAGATACGTTAAACGTAGAATAAGTAATTATAAAAGAGGATAATAATTAAATAATAATCTCTTAATAGGAATATCCCGAGCCTGTCCTTAGTATATACATAGGAGGTGGATCTAGTAGCCTTAAAAAGGAGGTTATATAACCGTCTACTAAAACTACTCCAAAGCCGTATCTACGCGGTTATAATACGGCTGTATTTATCTTGATTACGCTCTTATAATATAGATAACTTCTAAAAATAAGCAGATATAAGTAAATAAACTAAGTAAAGAGCTATTGTATACCCTTATTTCTCTAATCACCCCGTCCTCTACGTATACCTAGTTAGGGATTCTCTTAGCTCTAGTTCCTCCGTATATACTATTCCTTTACTATCTTTATAAGCTATATACTTAAGACGTTACTTATCGAATACTCTATATAAACCGCTACTTATGTTTTCGTAAGGTCTTTCCTTCGACTATATAGTTAGGCTTACTAGCTCTTTTCGCCTCCTAATTAGTGGTAGCCTTATCTGCCTCCTACCTAATTCCCGTATGATAACAGAGCTATCCTTCCTAAGGTACTACTTAAGGCAGTAGTAGATATAGCGCGCTATTAGCTACTACGCCTCGGAGGCCTGCTTAGTACGGGGTATTAAAAGACTTAAGTTATTCTTCCTTAGTGTTTAGACTCGGTGTAATAGGACTAACACGCTTAGCTAAAGACTGTATATCTATAAGTCTATAGTAAAGACGGTAATAAGATATCTTAGTACCCTTAGTATAGTACTTCGCCTCCTTTTCCTATTTATCTTAGATATTATAGCTCCTCTTCTTCGAAACGGTAGAGGACTTAGGCGCCTTAGGACTCTTAGACGTTTTAGGTATCTTCGGGAGCGGCTTTCTTATCTTTAGGCGTTTAAAGCTTAAAACTACTAAGACCTATATCCTTAATATCGCTACTGCTATTAGATAGTATTAAGGGGTCCTGGAAACTCTGGCCCGGCGTGCTGGTAAGGTCTATAATCTCGGGGTTAGGGGAATTAGTAAGATTAATAGACTCCTCCTCGGCTTTAGATATTATAGGCCCCTTAGGAGTCTTAGGGCCCTTAGGCAGGTTAACTAGTATCTACTTCTTAGTCTTATAAATCGGCTAGAATCTAGTTATTTTAGGGTTTCGGGAGATAGTATTGCGGGCTTTATAGCTAGCTCTATATAGTAGCCGAAGCCGAAGAGTTTACTAATATAAATTACCTAATATTTCTTAATATACCGGGTATATTCCCCGATATCGTTCCCGTATTAACAGCTTCAAGCGAATCTATAAATCTTAGAGCGTTAAGGGAATAGGTATCCTTCTTAGACTAAAGCTTTAATCTATTCTATAATAGAAGGACTATACGAGCGACCGTTTAGTTATATAGGGTTAGGGATAATATAGAACTTCTTAGCTATACTATTAACGGCTTTGTTAGGAGCTTTAATAGAAATTATCTATAGTATTATAAGATAGACGACTTTAAGGAGGCGTTATTCACCTTTACTATTAGACTATATACTATTATACCTATATATAATCTAAGTCTCCTAGTTAATAATTAGGCTAATAAAATAGTTACTGTTAACGTAGCAGATTATAGAAATAAAGCGACTAGTTTTAGCATGCTGCTATACCTTATTAGTAAGAGTCATAAACTCCGCCTTATCTTTAAGACTATATAGTCTCCGAATACTATAAAGGACTTTTTACTTATAAAAGAAAGCACGAAATAGCTATCTTTCCATGCTGCGTAGACGATATCGTGGTATTAAGGCCTTCGAATAAAATAATAGAATACTTCTATACCGAAATATCGAAAGAAATATCACTTAAAGATTTAGGTAAACTAAATACCTTTTTAGGTAAGGAAATTAAATATAAATAGATAAAATAAGACTGTATCTATAAGTTAGCTACCCTATATAAATAAGATAATAGATTAGTATAATAAACGGAACCTAAAAAGGGTTAATACCCCCTGTATAAATAAAAAGGTCCTTATACCTAATCTAGACTAGGTATCTAAAGCCGATATAAAAATATACTAATAAGAAATAGGGGCTTTACTATATCTAGCCCTCCACTTAAGACTAGATATAACGTATGCTATTAATAGGTGTGCTAGATATATAAGTAATCTATCTTAGCAACACTTTATAGCTTTAAACAGGATCTGGGTATATATAAATACTTTTCCGAAAATAGGTCTTTTATATAACTATACTAATAAGAACCTTAATATATACGGCTACTCGGATACTAGTTTTTCTGATATACTAGAAGATAGAACCTCTACGTTAGAATATGTATACTATATTAGAATTAATAATATAATTAGCTAGACCTCTATAAAGCAGAAACTTATTCCTTTATCTATAACCGAAGCCGAATATATAGCTTTAATAGAAGCTATAAATGAAGGTATATATATATATAGTCTATATACAGAACTATCTAATAACCTTAAAAACGTTTTTAATAACGAAGGCTCTATTAAAATCCCTACAATATTAGTAGATAGCGAGAGTGCTAAGAAACTAGCTAAAAGCCCAGTTTATAAAAGGATTAAATATATCGATAGATAGTTCTACTACTATAGGTAATAGCTTTAAAAAAATGGAATAAGAATCGTCTATATAAATACTAAATTTAATAGAGCTAATATTATAACTAAAGGTTTACCTAAGGAAACGTATAATACTCTTTATAGTTATCTAAACCTAAGCTATAAAGACGATAAACTATCTGACCATAGCTTACCATCTTATATGCAAATTAAGGAGCTTAAATACCAAGGCGTATATAACTTGGTTGTTTATCTCCGGGTCTTCCAAGATAAATAGGCTTCATCTTTAGGGTTTTCCTAAAGTAACTAGGGTTTTCTCTTAAAGAGTTTTACCTAGAAAAGGGGTTTTTTAGTTTTTTCCTCTTTTTAGTTTAGTCTAGATAGACTAGGCTGCTGCTATAATTATACCCTAGCTAAGCTACACTTATTATATAAGAATTAGCTTACCGGGGGATATTAAGCTATAACCTAAGCTTAGTATGTAGAAGAATACTAGAGCTATACTATAACTATATAACCTATACGCTTAGTAATATACGTACTTAGGAACCTATTTATTCGGCGACCTAAATAAGAACCTACTCGTTCGGCAACCTAAAACGTCCAGCCAGCCTCGGTAAACCTATAGGGCCACTAGGACCTATAAGGAGTCTAAGAGTTGGATAGTTCCGGGGAACCTATAGAAGGCCTAAGCGAAGGCCTAAGCGTGCAGTAGCTTAGGGGAGCCTGTAGGGCCCTAGGACCTCTAAGGGGTCTAAGCTTTATACAAAACTTTCTGCCTTCTACC